CACCAACTCCAATACACCTCTTAAAGTAATTATTATAGTTTCAGAGGCATTTAGACTTCAGAATTCAATGCAAACAAACATGCCCTAAGTTCAAGTGTGATCAGTTTGCTTTATGGTGGTTTGCAAGTTTATGCTTTTACAAGGAGTATTTTACTAAATTCATTATGCCAAAGGATGTGGGTACCCTCTAGGTAGGGTGAAAATTGCATCCCTACTTACAACCTCTCCTATTGATACACAAATGACAAGTATGTTTCCCTCCATTTCCTCCTCCTCCACCTCCTTAATAACAACAACAACAACAAAAATAATAATAATAGTATCTCTTTGCAAGTGTTTAATCCCTCTCACTCTGGTTGATAACACTTCGTTTGAGCTAGCAGTCATATTTTATCTCAATATTGTTGTTTGGAATTTAGTTTTCATTTTTTTCTTGCATCTCTAATGGTTAGGTTCTCTCATTAGGCTGTTATTGGAAAGGCACTTTAATTATTTTCTGTAGGGCATTCATTTCAGACCTCCCACCCAATCTTTGAAGCTATGGCTGCATTTGATTTCGGTAGAAAAAATCATTGATGTAAAAGTCAATCAATGGAAGTTGCAGTTGATTCCACTTCTGGCGATAACAGTTCTAGATGTCTCAGTTCTGGGTGATTAAAGTTCTAGTTGGTTCCACTTCCGGTGATAATAGTTATGGCGGTTACTTTTTCCAGGTTGGTTAAACTTCTAGTTAGTTTCACTTTTGCCGATAACAGTTCTGACAATTATGTTCTATATTTTTATAGTTAGTTCTAGTTCATTAAAGTTCCAATGGTTATGGTTCCAGATGGTTAAAGTTATGACGAATCACTACTGTATTTATCCCTCTCTTTTTATTGTTGGAGATGCGCTCATTTATCTCTTCTATTGGTAATTCTGCCTCACTTTTTGTTTGTTACAGAAGTTTTTTCATTTTCTCCTTTATCCACTGTGAATATTTTGTTCTTTCTAGAGACTTGTATTCTTGCTTGGTACTGTTACCATTTCTCTATTTTCATACAATGTTTTTATATTTTCTTGCTTGGTACTGTGACCACTACTCTATATTCATACAAGTTTCATAGTTGAATGAATTAGATGTTTTGCCTTAAAAAAAGCCGGTTGATGGAAAAGTTGATGATTGGTTTAAAATATTAATGGACTGTTGGAGTTTTTTGATGTATTACATCGATTACTGATGAAAATGTCAGCCAATTAGATGGTTACATTGATTTTCAATGTAAACTTTACATTTGAAACAAACACGTGGAAATAAAGATCGGGTGTAGAGTTCTACACCGGTCTGTTTTTACACTGAAAACAAACACGTATAAATGTGAACTAATGGTAAAGTTTTACATCAATTCGCGTTTACACTGAAAACAAACGTATTCTTTAGAAATCATTATCGATGTTAAAACATGTTTCTATTGTAATTGAATAGAGGGCTTTCACTTCCGTTTTTTTCTCTTGGTTTTAGGGCACTCCAATATTGTTCCTCAATCTTTCCCCTATTTTCCTCTTTCTCCTCTTTTCTTGTTTTGTTTCTTTTATTTTTTAGGCAAATTTAGTTTATAATTTTTAGGCAGTAGGGTCTTCAATACTTGTTCAGCTTTCTTTTGCATATAGATGTGGTTTCTACAAGCAATCTTGTTGATGGGTTTGACTTCATTTTCTATGACTTGAACTTAATGATAAAGCACAACTAGAAGAAAATCAATAAGAATCTCTGTTTGTTAATGATCTGCCAGTGGTTAGAAATTCCCTGTTTTTTTTTTTTTTGAAATAGTTAGAGATTCTTTTGTTGCTAGTCGTTAATTAATTACTGCCCGCTGAGGGGACCTCATAGTGTTTATTATATGGTGGAGAATGGTGGAGAATGGTGGAGATTTAATATGATGGTCAACAATTTTTATTTTCTGTAGCGCCTATTTTCAGTCGGTCTAGTAAAGTAGTAACAGTTAAAGGGACAAGGGATCCAACGTCTGCCCTACAGACCTAACTAATGATTCTCCCACACACCTAATCTCATCAACCTGTAAGGCTGATTACATTCCTGTCTAACATGTGGGCTTTTATTCGTTAAAGCCTGGATTTGAAAAAATTTGATATTGTCTTAATTATTTACTGAGCACATGCAGCCATGTTGGAGTTCGAATTAAGTGTCCGATTTCTCGTTTTATTTTGGGTAAAGTCCACGGATCTGTCACTTGATACCCTCAACTACACATAATGTTCATTCAAGTAATTAATTTGTTTTTTAAAACCTCTGGACCATCTATATGTCACTTGATACCCTCAACTACACATAATGCAACGAATGAGATCAATGGAATCATCTTTTACAGGTTGGATTAGTTGCTTGTTTAATGGAGTCATCTTTTACAAAAAATAAAAATCATTGAATGCAAGTCAACTTGTTGCAGTTGGCCTTTTCAAAAAATTATTCAACCTAAAAGCTTAAGCTGTTAATTGAATTTTTTGAATAGGTTGATATTCTCTAACATGCCCATTCACACAAAGGCCCATTGGATTTAAGTGTGAACAACTACAGGTTCACCCATTCCTTGTGTTGAAACTTAATTAATTATAATGGGAGAAATAAAGATCCAATACTAAACCACTTGGTCAAAGTGGGTCTGATACCATTTAAAAGAACCATTCAACATAAAAGTTTAAGCTGCTTAGTGAGGTTCTTGAATAGATTGATATTCTCTAACATGGCCTCATCACATTAATATCAGAGTGCATGATTTCTTTGTGATTTCTCTGCCTCTCTCTCGTTCTAATGGCTGCAATCCATTCCATTAAGGTGTTAGAGAAATGCCAAGTCTCTCCACCTGCAGCTTCAATGGAGAAAAAATCTCTTCAGCTTACTTTCTTCGACGTAATGTATCTGTACTATCGTTGTCCCTCCCGCATATTCTTTTATGAATTCCCTCATCCGATTACCCTCTTCATGGAAAGCATCATTCCCAACCTCAAAAACTCACTCTCCCTCACCCTCCAACACTTCTACTTTCTTGCCGGAAACCTAATGTGGGTTCCCCCAACCACTGAACCTGAGATTCGTTTTGTCAGTGGTGACTCGGTCTCATTTACCATTGCTGAGTCTACTGATAATTTCAGTGATCTCTGTGGCGACCATCCTCGTGATGAAAGTCAATTCGACCCTCTGATTCCTCAATTGCCATCGCTCTTCGACTCCAACGTAGTCCCACTCCTAGCCCTACAAGTGACCTTCTTCCCCAATTCCGGTTTCAGTATCGGAATTACCTCGAGCCATGTGGTTTCCGATGGCAGAAGCCTTTGCCATTTCATTAGGTCGTGGGCAACAGCATGTAGGCTTGGAGGGGATTCATCTGCGTGTTCAGAATTGCTTCCATTCTATGAAAGAACTGTGATTGACGACCCTGAGGGTTATTTGAAAACAATTCTTCTCAAGGAGATGGAAAACTACACGTCCAAGATGACTTCCAATATCTCCGACGACTCTCAACCAAGCTTCGAAGTCCCAACTGAAAGCATTGTTGTTAGAGCCACATTTGTAGTGAGCCGAGTGAAAATCGATCAACTGAAGCAGTGGATCTTGGCAAGACATGGGAAGAATGAAAATCAGATTGTACCACTATCGTCGTTGCGTCTCTCGGCATTTGTGGTAACATGTGCCATCACATGGGTTTGCTTGATTAAAGCAGGAGTGATTGTGGATTCTCCTGGTAAAGAGATGGAGCATTTCTTATTTAGTGTAGACTGTAGGGATCGCCTAAGGAATCCTCCAGTGCCAGCTACATACTTTGGCAATTGTGTTGCTCTTGGATTTGCAGATGCAAAGAAGACTGATTTAGAAGGAGATAACGCCATTGTTGTGGCAGCGAAGATGATTGCAGATGCGGTTAAGCGGATGGAATATGGAGTTTTGAGAGATGCAGAGAGGTGGATATCAGATTTGAGTTCCCGACTACCCGAGGGATTTGTGACGGTGACAGGGTCACCCAAGTTTGGTGTTTATGAGATGGACTTTGGGTGGGGGAAACCAAAGAAGTTTGAAATGCTTAGAATGGGTGAGGGACAAATTTCTCTTTTTGATAGCAGAGATGGAGAAGGTGCAGTTGAGGTGGGACTGGCTCTACCTAAGGCCAAAATGGAAGCATTCACAACTTTCTTTGCTGACTATCTCAAACTCTGCAATTCTTGAATAGATCGATTGGAATTGACTGACCTCATCATCAACACTAAAGGGTTGTGTTAATTTGTGTAGCTAAACTTCAACCACATGCATCATGATGTATTTCCCAAATAGAGACCACCCTTAATTTCCTTGGTTGTTAGTGTTAGGACTTCACTTCACCTGTTCGACTAATTGCATAATTAATAACAATGGTGCTCATTGATTTTGTGCTGAAGAGTGTTTTTTATTTTTTTTAAGCTATTAAGGCAAAGGAATAAAAGCAAGCAATAAAACAGTACTGTTCCGAAGTGGAACGAAATAACAGAGGAACCACGTAAAATATGCTCGCCTAATGACGCCAAAGCCAAAGTCCAAAATACGCGAAGAACTTTGCCAAAGGCAGGAACGAAACTACCTCAACATTCTCCTGCACTTGGCTACCGGCCGGCCAAAAGAGATTGACAGCTTCTAGGAAATCACTTTCTATGCAAATGTCAGTAAGACTCAATTTTGCTGCAATCTCCAGACCTTCCCATGTAGTTCTCACTTCTGCACATAAGGGACCAGTCTTTTTTGTTAAAACCCGTGGAAATATTTCCTACTCACTTTCTCTACCCACGCCGTACCTATAGTACAGCGCAGGTAGAGAAAGTAAGTAGGAAATCGGGAGAAAGATGGTTCAGCCCAAAGTCAGAATTTATTGACACAAAGTACTGTTGAGATAGATGCTAGCTCGGATTTAATACCAATTCGGGTGGGCATTGATGTATAGGTGTGTGTTGTTGTCATTTTGAATGTTTATAGCTCTGCAGTGGAAATCAGAAATATACATTGGGCCTGTCCGTACTTCTCCATAGGAAATCTGTCCACGTAATCGGATTTCCCAGCCAACTACTCTCTACCCACATTGCGCACAAATCGCCATTTTGTATTGTGAGATATGCAGCTGCAATGTACAGTGGGTAGGAGGTACGTGGGTAGAGAAAGTGAGTGGGAAATCTTTACACCAATCTTTACACCAATTTATCTACAGCATAAATACATACAAAATAATACAAAATATAAGGTTTTACACTCTACATATTTGCATTTGCACTACTTCCAAACTCAACCTTAATTGTAAATCTACCACCTATGCATTTTTCTCATATATATAAATGCAAGACCTTTCACTCTCGATGTGTGAAAGAGGGAAAGGTGATAACTCCACGACATCAACAGAAACTCTAACTTTCAAAGTTTCAAGTTCTCATCTAGTCTTCCTGCAATCCCAAGTGTTACCTAGTTGCTTCCCATCAAACTTAATGGTGACAACTACAATATATGGTGTGTATGATTCTACATATTTAGCATGCCAAATATTTGGTTGAATGCCTTGCTATAGTAGCTGAACTTGTTGTAGAACAAGACTTGTTACTATACTTGTTTGCGGGTCTTGGCCCTGAATATGAATCATTTATCACTTCAATCATGACATGAATGGATGCTAATGATTTAGATGATCTTCATGGGCTTATGCTAATCCACGAAATTTGGTTGAAACTGTTAGATAGTGTATACCCTTAACTCCAATCAGCATGATGTACATTATGACATTTATTGTAAATGAATAAAGTACATATTTGATTCATGTTATTATGTTGTGTTTCTGTGTAATACCCTTAAACTGTATACATATGAGACTCGTGTTACTTTAGAATCTTCATAGCCGTTGGATAGATCTGGGGAGATTTATCTTGCCAAGGCT